AAGTAACGGCCGAGAGCCAAGGATACAACAAGCAAGCCTCCACGAAAGAGAGAAAAACACAGAAAACACAGACTGCAAATACTCAAAAAGAAAAAGAGAAAGGGAAAAAAAAGAAAAAAAGAAGAAGAAGAAAGCACAGTTGAGTCACAGTTGAGTCACGACTCTAAGTCCAAGCCTAGATGCTGGCTTACCATAAAAATACACCTTTAAAAGTCTCTTGAATGATCTATGGCAGGTGTTCCGCTGATCAGCGTACAGTCCTGGGAGAAACGCATTCGACGCATACAGAATGTCCGGTATGACAAGGGCAGAGTAATACAGCATCGCCTGCCGCACTGTTAGGCAGTACCGGATGTGGCGGAGGATCCGCAGCTTCATAGCCGTGCGTCGAACGATAGAGGTGACTTGCGGTGACCAGCGAAGATTTTCGTCCAGAGTGACTCCGAGGTAGCGAGACGTACTGGTCTGGGCAAGAGGCGTGCCAGTGCAAGTAATGTGGAGGTCGAGGTGTGCCTGCCGTCCAGCTTTGATTGCAAGCACTTGCGTCTTTCCGGTGTTGAGGATAAGCCCTTTGGCATCGAGTAGCCTGGCGCTGCGAATGACCGAGGGTTCTCGACGCCTTTTCTCACCGTCCAGGAGCGACACTGACTCACGCTGCTATCTGGTGTTCACGAGGTGTTTGTCGCGCTGAAAACAGAGCGTCTCTGTAAGTTTGTTTGCCCTTGTTGCTCTGTACTACGCACTACCTCGGTAGTGTTAAGCACATGTCAGCACACTGGGTGCATACTCCCGTAGTTAGTGGGTGTGGGTGTTTTTAAGTAGTTTTTTTCTCATTAGGATCTGTGTTGAGACGATGAGTGCACAAAGTACCAAACATTTCAGTGAGTCTGTAATTGTACGCAAAGTGTCCAGAGCAGCATATCTTAGAAGTTTTTTTTACTTTTCTCGCTGTACTCACTCTTGATATTGGTGGTAAATACACACCTGGCAATGTGGCGGTAAATACACACCTGGCAATGTGGCGGTAAATACACACCTGGCAATGTGGCGGTAAACACGCACCTGGCAATGTGGCGGTAAATACACGCCGGATAGTAAAAGAGTCATAAGAAGAAGAAGAAAACCGTACAAGCAAACAGGTTTGCAGCTTATTGCTTATTTCCGAAATTGGGTTGTCTTTTTGCTTTGACTCTTCCTTCATGGTGTTGTGAAAAGGGAGTCGGAGTCGTAAAATACCGGTATATTATGACTTCATGGTGTTGTGAATAAAACCGTTCTCAAGCAAACAGGATAGACCCAGCAACTGGGAAGAAAGTTATAGCGGCGGTTGACACTCAGCTGACACTCAGCAGCAGCCAACGAGGCTGAGGACGCTGCAGCATCGCTAAACTGGCTGTTAGGCTGACGGTGGCCGCGCAGGCTTGCAACTGTGGACCTGACCAAGCTGAATGCAAACACTGATCTGACATAAGCCATTACAACGCTGTGGGGCTCATTCCTTTTTCTCAGGCATCGTGCAGACCAGCCGCTTCAGGAAGGTGAAGGCAGCCTTTCCGGTGCCACCTGTCAAGACGCTCTCGTCAGGTGTATGTGAAGGCGGTCATAATGCCCGACCTGCTTTATGGCTCCTGCTGTTTTTCAGCCGCAATGCGAGAGGGTCAACTGAAACGACTGCAAACCACGCAAAACAGAGCCATCCGCTGTATCGATGGCAACCCGCCCCGGACAGCCATGCAGCCGCTGCTCACTGCTCACTCCCTGTACCGTGTCAGCGAGCTCTACAGGCAGAAAATATTGATCACCATCTGGCGGTGCATCAACGCCCGCACCAGCCCTGTGCTCGCCCAGCTTCTGACCCCGGCACAAGGCACCCCTACCCGCCATCAGCAGTCAAATGGCCTACTAAGCCAGGCAAACCGTAGCCGCCGCGGTCAGCGGAGATTTTCTGTTGCTGGTGCTCTGCTGTGGAACGCTCTCCCTGGTGAGGTCCGCACAATTACCCGGCTACCTGAGTTTAAGCATGCATGTGTACCATACGCCTGTAGGGAGTAGTTCGAGTTGCTGCTGATTGCTCTGCTCTCCCTCCCCGTGCAGTTCAGTAACCCGCACGTAGTATCACAGATACATCGTATTCTCTCTCTCCCCCCGTTTACCCGCAGTTATTAGTATCCTATTCTCTTACTATGTGCTTCCATAGCTTTTACTATGTTCTTCCATAGCCACTTCTAGGCTAAGCCTTCGCCGTCATTTTATTGGGTCGTCATCCCGTTTGAATGTGCGAAGTGAAATAAAAACCAACCAACCAACCAACCAACCAACCTGTGGCGCTGAAAACCAGGGGCACAAATGATGCTCTCTCGACTTCTCAGGCGCGTTCTTCATAACAGCGACGCTTCTCACCTTCACTTTGCGCGTATGTGGAGGGTTGTTGGTTGGTTGGTTTTTATTTCACTTCGCACATTTAAACGGGATGACGACCCAATAAAATGACGGCGAAGGCTTAGCCTAGAAGTAGCTATGGAAGAACATAGTAAAAGCTATGGAAGCACATAGTAAGAGAATAGGATACTAATAACTGCGGGTAAACGGGGGGAGAGAGAGAATACGAGGGCAGGGACTGAGCCGAGTTTGAGGCAACATGGGGATTGAAAACCCGTAAATCGAAAAAGGTGCGCTTAAACTGGCTGCCCCACACTCCACTGGCAGTAACATGAAGGCGTGCGCCATCGTCGCGGATGGCTGTGCGGTGGTGAAGCTGTTCTCCGGTAAGGGGTTGCAGCCCTGGCTCCACGGCCACATCCTTCGCGACTGTGCGCAGAAACGAGGCAGTGGTGTTGCGCAGTTCGTTTTGCCGCATGGCTGGGTATCCTCCCGTAGAGCAGCTCAGGGCATGCCATGCGTCCAATCTCTTGCAGCTCAGGGCATGCCATACGTCCAATCTCTTGCAGCTCAGGGCATGCCATACGTCCAATCTCTTGCAGCTCAGGGCATGCCATACGTCCAATCTCTTGCAGCTCAGTGCATGCCATACGTCCAATCTCTTGCCGACTGCGCACGTGGACGGCAGCCTTGCGCAAATCCAGCCGTAATGCAGGGCAAGCCACACAGTACCTGTGACGATGATATTGAGACCCATTTAGTATTTACCTCTCTACTAGTACTTGCTGATTATGATTATTGTTCTCTTTCTTCTTTTTTCCCTTCTGGTTTAGTCATTACACTTATTTATATTATTTGGTGCAATACTAGCGCCCCTTTCTCGCACCAAATTATTCTTTTTGCTACTTGACCATGCAACCCCACCCCCTTTTTTTCGATGCCAGGTTGCAACGCTAACGCCGAGACCCCTGGTCGGTCGAGTTGCTCCCTGTACATCGGCACGTCGTCCCTACATCCCCTGTGTCTTGTCTTGTGTTTGTCTCCACATCTCTTTGTAGGGCTGTGTTCCCAATAAAAAATAAATAAAATAAAATGAAAAAGCGCAGCACGGAAGGCACCCTTGTGCAGCGTGAAGCTATGTCGCTGTAGTGGTCGGCACGTAAGCCAGCCCTTCATGACGACACGGAAGTGAGACAATGGAACGCTCTTGCTGACCAGGCGCCATGCGGTCTGTGAGGGCCGGAAGTAGGTGCTCGCTGATGCATGCTTCCAGTGGGGAAAAGCTATCCGCAGTGTCGGGCACGGCTCGGGCTAGGAACGACCATTTGTGGCGCAGTCCATGCGTGAAGGCCGCATACGCTGCTTGTGGCTACGTCATGGCAAATGTGGTTAGGGTCTTCCTGGCACCACTGGGCAACTTTGTCATCTGTTTTATGCCTGGCAGAAGGCAGGAGTGCCTAATGCTGCACTAAGGTGTCGGTCGCCATCCGTCTTCACTATAATGTCGGTGTCGCCAAAGAGCTCCTGGGTCTGCGTAGCGTGATCCGGCTTCACTAGGAGAACGGTTTTCCTAGGGTTCGGGAAGTACTCATACGAAGGGTCATGGAGTGCGAGGACTTCCCACCACGCTCTCGGGTTGGCGAGCCGTTCCCACCGGCTGTCGAATGGGTCTATGCCCGTTTGAACTTGCGAATCAAAATAAATACAAACAAACAATCATCGGCAAACCACCCCTGGATTGCAACTGGGATTGTGACCTTCTGAATCAATGGGACTGTGCCAAGAGCGTACATCGCCATGGCCAGAAGGTCCCCTTAGGGGGTACATTCGCATGGGGGGATTAATTCACCATCCACGAACAGGCGTGATGATGACGGATAGATGTTGATAGCGATGATGGCAAACTCAGAGCAGGTGTGACGGATGTTTTGAAGGCAGACATTCCTGTTCAGGCGGTTAAACGCATTTTATGCGTCAGCAAAGAGGACTCCTTCTGGTTCTGGGTCGTTGTAGACAGACCGCATGGAGTGCATGGCTGCTTCTATGCCGCATTCTTGACCTGCACACTGAGTCCACAGAGTTGTAGATACCCAGTCACCGCTTCCACGGCCGGGCCGACAACGTGCATTACAGCTTTGCCGATGATGCGGCGAGCCACCTCGCCAATTCCAATAGAGCGGACGCCGGGATGCTTATCAAGTGGAATGACGCGGCTAGCAGTGTAGGCCTCTACACAACATGTAGGGCCGCTGGGTCAACGTAGCTGTACACGATGCGTCGGGCGTAGCTGGCCAAGATGCGTCGGGCGTAGCTGGCCAAGATGCGTCGGGCGTAGCTGGCCAAGATACGTCGGGCGTAGCTGGCCAAGATGCGTCGGGCGTAGCTGGCCAAGATGCGTCGGGCGTAGCTGGCCAAGATGCGTCGGGCGTAGCTGGCCAAGATGCGTCGGGCGTAGCTGGCCAAGATGCGTCGGGCGTAGCTGGCCAAGATGCGTCGGGCGTAGCTGGCCAAGATGCGTCGGGCGTAGCTGGCCAAGATGCGTCGGGCGTAGCTGGCCAAGATGCGTCGGGCATAGCTGGCCAAGATGCGTCGGGCGTAGCTGGCCAAGATGCGTCGGGCGTAGCTGGCCAAGATGCGTCGGGCGTAGCTGGCCAAGATGCGTCGGGCGTAGCTGGCCAAGATGCGTCGGGCGTAGCTGGCCAAGATGGGTCGGGCGTAGCTGGCTAAGGCGTAGCATAAATCATCGGATGCAGCATTGAAGGAGGTGCACATCCAGCGCCTGGCGACAGCCTCTAGGCCTTATGGGCCGGCGGATCCTTGCGTGTACAGGGCCGCTTGGCGCGGGGCGTTACTGTTCAGAGCGGAGACCAAAACCGGATGAGGTGTGGAGGCAGGGGTTCCTTCACTATCAGCGGCTTCATGTGCGGGCTTGGCATTGGGGTGTTTGTCAAGTAGCACGTCTCGCACTTTACTGTCCTCCACTCGCTCGTCGAGGGACAGGGCTCCACAACTGCTGAGGTTGGGTAGCATGCGGAGGGCAGCGCCTGTCTTGCCTGCGTAGATGAGGGATGAGAATGAGCGGGCGTGATAAGTTGACGTTCCAGGAGTCTTTTGAGACTTCCTGGCTGCTTCGTGTAGTTGTCCGTGGATGGTGAGTGCTTCACGCATCATCTCGCTAATATTTCCCTCGCACCATAGCGGCAGACGGCGCTGAAGGCACTCCACGTGAGCCTGCTTAGACACCTCCTTGAACGGCTGTTGACGGATCAGGTGTGGTGTTAGCATGGCGGCTTTGATGCATAGCCCTTCGCCTGCAGCTGAGTCTCCAAAGCTCTTGAACAAGGAGCTGATGGTAGTAAGAAATGAGGAATCCAGTTTGCCAAGCGGGATGGCAAAGAGGTTGGGTTGTAAGTGTACTGCTTTCTCATATGCTGAATTGACAGCCTGGACATTATACTAATACCCTACCTGGTAACTCCGGCTTCAGCTCTTCTACACCTTTCCGCTCATCAAACAGAAACACATCATGAAACACGTCATGGCATTGATGCACAATATGTGGCCAAGGCACTGGATGGGCTGCTAGGGGCACATTCGCCAAGTCGTGATTCTTACCTGCCTATAGAGATTCCGGCTTTGGGTGGCCAAGTACCACCACGCAAAGATACCAATGCCGTGGCAAGTGCGGCTGAATCGGTGGGCTCCGTTGTATATAGCAGCCTGCCAGATGGTGAACCAATAGATAGTGTCCCTCCCTCTTTTCATCTCGGGAGCCTCACCGCAACCGATACCTGTGCACTGATTGATGCAGCCTATGAACAATGCGCTCAATACCGTCCCAATACTTTCCACGTTCCACGGGAGAAGATCGGGCGGCGATTCATTACATTTCTTTCCTCATATTACTCCTGTTTTGGTGATTGTGGATCCTACCAGCAGAGTGCCTTCAATATTGCTGCAGTGTTTCAAGCCCTACTGTTACAGAAACCGAAAACTGACTCCTCCGTGTTTGCGAAGCTTCGGGAGCGCAGACTTGGGCAATAGGCAAGTGGAGATCTTGCTGACTTGATGAGAGAAGCAGGCACCATTCAGGATTGTAAGCGCCTTGAGTCTGATTCTAAAAACCGAGGTAGTGTTGACCCCGCTAGGGGCCTTGCAGACAAGGTCACGGCTGGGAAGCTTACAGCTGCTCTCAAAGTATGATCGGACGATGAGGGTGGCCGTTTGCATGCCCTTGACGACACAGTGATGGATGTACAGTCCGAGATATCCTAAAGGACAACCACCCGTCACCAGAGCCGATCGACGAGGCTGCTCTCATATCTGGCGCGCCTCCGCCGCCTCCGCACTCCGTATACTTTAGTGGCTTAGGGCGGGAGGCGATCCGAAAAGCAGCCACTCATACACAAGGTGCTGCTGGTGCGAGCGGTGTTGATGCAGAGAATTGGAGACATATGTGCTCCAATTTCTCGACTGCTTCAGATGCACTGCGTGACGCTTTGGCGTCTTGTGCTCGAAGGCTGGCCACGGCCTATGTGAACCCAGACTCACTGGCTGCATTTACAGCTTGTCGATTAATAGCATTTGTCACAACGGAATAAATTTGCCAAGGTTTTCATTGTGTGCCTTTGTGTAATAGCATTTGATAAGATAAGCGCCCTGGCGTAAGGCCCATAGGAATAGGCGAAGTATCTCGCAGGATAATAGGCAAAGCAATTCTCCAGGTTGCTGGTCCTGAGGTTCGCGAAGCCGTGGGTTGTGACCAGCTATGTGCCTGTCTGGATTGTGGCAGCTTTAGTCTTTCGCAAGCTTGACACATCTATGATTCAGATCCTGTCAAAGTTGACAAGGCAATGACATCATGTGTACGAAGAAAACTTGTCCATTTTTTCAATGTTTTTCTCTTTCTTTGAATGAATGGAATTAAATTTTTATGACCAGCTGGAAGTCTGTTGGTCAGTGTACAAACTGTACATGTATCCAAGACGTGATCGAGGCAAACGTCAGGTCGTTGAATGTCAGTATCATTAGTGAATATTGTGGCACACGTTCTGACCCGACATCATCTTGGCAATAAGTACACGCATCTGTAAAGCGCCGCAGAACGCAAATGCTAGTGCACGTCCTTCGGATGGACCCCAATGCACCTGCTTTCAGAGCGTCATGCTACCTGAAGCGAGACGCTACCGGCCACCGTGGTAGACCAAAGACAACACTCACCACCACAGTCATCAAGGATCTCCAAGAATGGAACATCTCATTGAAGAGTGTGGGGGACTTGGAAGAGGTCCGCGCCACTGCCACTGACAAGAATCAGTGGCGTGCCATGTTCCATCAGTAGCTGCTGCATTTTGTCCGCTCCGCTCAGTCACTCCGTTCCTAACGTTTAAGCAGGAGCCGCTGCATTTTAGCCGCTCAGTAACTATTAGTGCTTGCACTCCGTTTCCCACACGCGCACGCGCACTTCCCCGCACGCACACTAGCACACGCCTGCGCGTACTTACATACACCCATCTTCATACACACCTCTATCCGGTTGTGCACTTTCATTTCTCTCGGGGTTTTTTCTTTTCCCACTTTCTTTCACAACCATCACATTGTAGCAGAGCTCAAAAGAGACAGAAATGGAAAGGTTAGCACTACATCGCTGCACTGTACGCGAACTGTTCTATTATTATACTGTGGCGTAAACCTTTGGTCCTTTCCTTCTTCTAAGTAATTCCATTTAATTCTAATCTTGTCTTCAGATCAGACTTGCAAACAGTCATCAGTGATTCTCTCACAACCATCAATGATCTATTAGTATTTACGTATGTCGCCTAGTACACATGTAGATGTATGGCTGGTGATACTCACATAGCTAGCTGGGACCTGTGCGCCTGGCGCATAGGCGGACACTGAGCGACGATTCGTTCGGAAATCCGATCATTCTATCGTTGTTGTCGTCGTTGCTACTGTTACTACTGCAGCCAGTCCAGAAATGCCTGCAATCATATCGTTCTCGCGAGTCATGAACGTTACACTCACCTGGATGTTCCTGATTTTAGTGTCTTTCTTTGGATTCCGCTCTAGACAGCAACGCTGTCAAGAGCACGAATTCTGCCATGTCCCAAATACATTGGCAGGCAGCTTTGAGCCTGGAGAGGTGTGATCCTGACATACCTGTAGACAACTTTCACTCTATCCTCCATTGCACCTGTTCAAGATTTCTGCCCAGGCAGAAGCCATCAGCTGCCAAGCGGGTAGATGTGATCCCACCCTGGCTGACCAGTACCCTTCGACATCAAACAAAGAAAAATCGAGTTTCGTGCAGTGTTTACCGAGAGTTTCCCTCGGCAGACTACTTCGCTATTAACTTAACAGTCGAGAGCGCAACGTTTCTCGCAATATGTCTCCAACTGCCCGTCGACTGTACATCTCATCCCTAACTAAATACATCCTGGCCTACAACGGTCCAAGTTTATTCCAGTTTGCCCGGAACTGGCTTCCATCTCCCCAAGGAAACAGCAAGATGACTGTACCTCGGCTTTCAGTGGTTGCAACACTGTATTCTGACTCTGTGGATGGGGCAGACGATTTGAACGAACAGACTTATTGGTTTTGGAACACAAGATAATCCTTTATGGAATGACAGTGCCAGGCTTCAAGCCACCCGACTGTCCATCAGGTGGAAGAAGCACACGTAGGCTGCAAGATGTCACCACCACGCCATTTCCTGTGGCAAAGCAAATCTACAACCACTAAAGACTGCGAGAGCGGAGGATCCGCTAAAATATATTAATATCGTACTGCACGTGGGTTGTGTCCTCATAGGATCAGCAAACACACACACACACATACACACGCACACACACACACACGCACACACACACACACACACGCACACGCGCAAGGCACCGGCGGATTATGCCGGCATAATTATTGGCATAATTCCGTGGTTGAAAATTTGGAGCATAATTTGGCATCCTTTCGGAGGTAAAAGCATAACTACATGATTGTAACCGCAATCAGTAATACAAGCTGGATCGACATTTGTGTACACTGTATTCATGTATTGTAAAACTGTGGAGACAATGTGCAATAAAACGATGAAAAAATGTGAAGAAATTGTGCAGCCCTTCACCTTAGTCATCTTATTTACAACTTTGAATGCCGACAATGCGCTAGTCGGTATGTTGGTAGGACTGTTCAGCACCTGAACGCACGCATCAAACAACACACACCACGTCACATACTTCCACCTTGCGCACAACAACAAAGACCGAAGCGAGGGCGACCTAGAAAACAACCATTAACCACACAGCCGTTGCCTACACAACCCGCGGATCCTGGCTCTCAGACTGTGCTTGCTCCGCCGTCGTTGGTGGCGGTGGTGGAGGAGAATGGGCGTGGTGGCTCATCGGGTCGGCTTGTGTCGCCGCCTTTGCTCCGGCCGTCGGTGGTTCCCTCGTCAGTGCCCCCGGCGGCTTTGGCTGAGGCGGTGCCGCTTGCGGTCCCGGTCCCACTGCCTCCTCCTGATCCTCCGCCATCGGTTCTTGCGGCGGTGGAGCTTGCCAGTGGCAGACCGCGAGCAACACTGACAGCTGCATTAACACTACAAATGCCGACTCAAAAAGACCCACCCTGCATATCAGTAACTCCCACACCAACACCAACAACGCAATCTACAGCAACCACAACTAATCCACCATCCAAGCCCATAATTGAAAGACCAAGACGATCAACAG